AAAAAAGATATTTAATTAGGTTGGTAATTTTTATTTTTTAATTAATAAATAAATCAAGATTTATTTAATAACTATGTGGCAACGAAGAACTAATAAGCATATAATATCTATTGAAAAATTATTTTAACCTATCATTAGTAACGTTAAGAATAATAGCGGCATTGAATGTTTAAGTAGGATACAAAAAATCCGAATCTTTATCGATAGACAAAGAATGATTAACTCGAAAACCATTGTTTTTTTTTTTCTTTAGCTATTTTTTTTTTTATTTCTTTCTCTTTTTTTTTTACCCACTTTTTTTAAATTTTGTCTTTTTCGGACCTTCATCCAGAACTTAATCCGAACCCACCTGGTACACATTTTCTGGGTGCTCTACTAAATAAAAAATACTTAATACATATATTTACATATCGATGCTACGTAGTTCAAATAAAATTTTAAAGTGGTGTACTGTATTATTGTTTATAATATTTTTTATTTAATACAATACAGTACACTTTATAAGAAATAAGTGTACTGTACTAATACATAATGCGAGTACAATACAGTACATATTGAGGCAACATACAGTACGAAATTTCTACAGTCCGCAAATATATTTGTAATTAGATTTGTATGAAACACCTCAATTGCGTACTATGCTATATAAAGAAATTCTATCACAAAAATTATATGGTACACACGCACGTAACAAAATTAAATTCTAATTATGTTGCATAAAATTTAACTTTGAACAACTTTACTATCTCATGAACCAATAATTTAATGATTTTGGATGATATCAAAATCTCATAATCTAATCGTTAGCTCTAGGGTTTTTGACATGATAAAAAAAAAACTTGCCATGCGATAATCACATAATCATTTGTATTAATTTACAGCGGTTTCAAAATTTTGTGGAAAGATACAAATTACTATACCATGGTGAATTTACGATATTTTCTCAGATTTCCGGAGTTTTCAATACCGTCATAACCAGATTTTCTATATCTTTTTGAAAATAGCTGTAATTGGTTAAAAACTTTTTTCTAAAGTTAGAGAATATAGATCGCATTTTTATATATTATTATTAATGGCATGCTCATGCCAAGAAACTTTAATTTTGTGTTACGTGACGAATTTGTTCAAAAGCAGTGGCACTGATAGTATCCCATACATTCTTATATTCTATATATAGTAAGTGATAAAAATTACTTCTTATCAGTTATATAGGATGTACTATCAATCTATATATCAACATATTATGTTGTCATTTTTGTGCATAAGCAATCGAATTGTTTGTTAAACTATGCTAAAAGTCTTGGCAAATTTAGCTATAACGTAATGTAATGCATAACTGATAAGAAACGTCAAGCGTAAATATTGATTTTTCCGGATCAGCCGATATAAATCAAAACATACGTATGAGGAAACAAAAAAGAGATAACGAAAATATGTTAAATCAGTCTTTAAGCACTAATAGCAAATACAACGATTAAATGTCAATATATTTGAATTTGCTTTTAGGAATATTTCATATATTTTATGTTCATGCACTTTCCTTTCGGAACTTTTCGGACTACTCTTATCCTGTTCCATATATTTAGTATTTGGACTAACTTTTTGTGCAATAAAATTTTTATAATTTCTCTTGCACTTTATTTTTGTGCGAGCTTCTTAATTTAGCTTAGTTGCACACTCGTGCATTTATATTTAGAAATTTCCATGCACGTACGTACGTACGTATACGCACAAAAAAAAAACCATTTGCATATGTGCATCTTGTGCAAGGTAATTTTACGCATTTTTCGATTTCCATTTTCGGAAGATTTACCAATCAAATCGTAAATTTTTTGTGAAATAACAAGAAACGAGCGTCTTGAAGCACTAAAAAAAAAATGTCGGAAGAGTAATTTTAACTATGATACTTTTCCTATCGTTAATCTCGAACCAACCCTAACGCTAATTTTAATTGCTGCGTATTAAATAGTCTCCCAAATAAAGAAATCGAGAAATTGGTTGGTAATATCAATCGACTTCTGGTGGAGATTACAACCTGGTACAACACTCGCACTAGGTTTGTTTGGATGATGGTTCGGATGATGGTCAAGGAAAATAAACCCCAATTTCTTTATTATTATGATTTTTTTATTAAGACTTTATTTTTCGATTATAACAATAATAATCTTTAAATGAAATCTTTATTGCAATCTACAATACATACCTAATGCATAGAAATAATACAAATAAACTTGAATTTCAACATTCTAACAATTTTTTACGCTCTTCATTTCAGATTGATTGATATTTTTTTTGAATATTCATTGAATGTAATGAGAATTTTTGGTGAAATAGATAAGGCGCTAACTTGCCTAATTTCAATTTTCGTGTCTTTTTTGTAATATTCAATGCCGTGTGAGAAGTTGACTATTCTTCTTAATTTCACAAATAATACGTTGAAAAAAACTTTCAACAATATATTTCGATAATAGTTTCAGAGCATATATTTTATTTTTATCAATCAAAATCCATAATTTACGGACACACACAAGCCTGCTACTATGTCTCTACTGTAATATTCTTCGAACTATTAATAAAAAATTTAAATTATCAACCTAACTTAAATATCTTCTTAGACGGCTTATTTGATCACTATAGTTTTTAACTTGTGACTCACGGACTGACAAAAGGATTTGGCGAAACGGCATAGGTAGATTCGTTATATTCAATGGTTTATCAAGTCCTAATTCGATGGTTTTTTGCTATAATTAATGAAATAACAGCTTACACTATTAAATTGCATTCTTGTAATAAATTTTCATCAATTTTTTTTTCTTTATTTTTTCCATTGCAAAAAAAAAAAGAAAAAAAATATGCGTAATATATTATTTCATGTTAATATGTATTAAAATAGGAATACTGTATTTACCATAAAGAAGATAGTTACATCCGTAATAAACAAACTGTAGTGCAAATGGTTTGAAAATAAATTTGATCAGGGTGAATCTGAGCAAAACAAACTGCAGTGTAAGGCTATGCAAATATTACTGTATTTAGTAAATAAATATAATCAAGGGAATCCGAGCAAAACAAACTCGTAATATAACTGGTATTATTTGGTAAGCATTATATAATCTATAAACATGATGAGCAAATTTTAAGTTAATTATACTTGCCATAATCATTCTTATTATATAGCGCTCCTTTTTTTTAATGATATATAAATATGTTAGTTTTATATCCATTTTTTAAATTGGGTTGAACCCTTTCTAACTTATTATTTGTAAAAATAATATGAATAATGTCTTCAATCACTCAAGAACAATCCGACGCTATAAATCATATAGTTCTTCCTCTGCATCTCATTTCTCTCATTTCTTCTCTTACCGCATGTATAACGTTTAGCTTAATTCGAATATACTATCCTAAACTCGCAGATCGAGTTTCATTTCGTTTAACTTTTGTGGCTTTATTCTGCGATATAGGTTATGCTAGTCATAATTTAGCTATTACTATTTGGAATCAAATTCCCGGTTTATGGTGTGGATACGCGGTAAGATATTATTTTTCGACATCCAACAGCTTCTTTTTTGATATCTAATGATTTCTTTTCCTTAATTTCTTTATATAGGCTTGGGGAACTGTATTTTTTCCTCTTTGTTCTATATTTTTTATTGATTGTATAGCTTTGGTATGTATTATAATTCTATTTTATCGCGTTCATATACATACATATATATATATATATATATATATATCACTTGTCTTTATTATTTTTATATTAGAACCTTCATATAATATTCGTAAACGAATATAGGCCTCGTTATAATTTTGAGAAATATTATTTTATAATTGCATTTTCTTTTGCGCTTTTCCTCTCTCTCCTTCCCGCTACCGCTAATATGTACGGTTACGATGCACCCGAATCGTATGTATATACTATTAAATATATATTTATTGTTTCATATTTATTTCTCTTTCATGTCAATTTAAAATATATTCTATTTTTCATATATTCATTTTATTATTATATTTACAGGGGTTGTTGGTATCGTGATTCGGGTCAAACACATAATATAATATGGGAATGGGTTACTTTATTTGGTTGGATAGATGCATCCATATTATATTGTACGACCGTTGTTATTATGATCATTTGGAAACTTAGAACTGTGTCAAAACAAGTTGAAATTTTAAAATCTTCGAATTCTCAATCATCTGATTCTCCTACCTTAATTAATAAGAAATTGGTTTCCTCGGTTGTTAGAAGAGTCATGTGGTATCCTATAGTGCCATTGGTAGCTCAATTTTTTAACTCATACGTTGAAACGTATGCTTATGTTAATAATGGTGATGTCCCTTTTTCTATATTTTCACTTTGTCTATTTGGCATATCAATTCAAGGTATATATATTTTTATTTGATCATTCATTTGATTATTTTGCTTATCTAATCTTTTGCATTTTAGGATTACTAAATTCTTTAGTATTTGCTCAAGATATTGCTGTCACTCATGCTTTCAAAGCTGTTAAACTACATTGGTGGGTCACCATTGTTAGCTCTTATGAGTCTCACTATCCTCATCGATCTCACAATAAAGCCATTACAAATGAGTACGACATGCTTAGAAAATCTAATGATTTTATTGAATTGAAAGCTCTGAATTCCAACAATGCTGATTACATTAAAAACGATATTATCGTTGACGATATTATCAATAACGATATTACTAATAATTCTATTAATAATAGAATTAATAATAATAATAATATGGTTCCGCATCCTTCTTTATTAGAATGGTTAAGATACATGCTATTAATTAAACTTTTCTCTCCTCCCAAAAGTTCATTTCAATTAAGTTTACCTAAAATTTCATCACCGATCAATTCTTTTAATACCAATAAGCTCAATATTTCTTCTACTCTGGTTAAAAAAGATGATTCAAAACAGGATATAACTCCTGACAATCAATATAATGATCAGAATATTTATTTAGTTCACCCTGAATCGGTTCATTTAAAAGATTCCTCAACAGATTTATCACCCGATAGTTTAAATCCATCAACTTCATCAAATCTATTGATAGGTAATCCTAGAAATAATGTAATTGATATTTCAAACCTTGTAGTTGGTGATGAAGAAAATCAAATTAATATTACTTTTGTTGATGGTGAACCAACAAAAAGAATATCAGAAGAGTTTCCTGAAGAAGTTAAGATGCTTAAATTGACATTAAAAAGGTTATAATTTTTTTTTTTATAATTTTTTTCTTTTAATTAGCGCAGAAAAAAATTTTTTTTATCAATTTCTTATATTTGCAATTATATTATTTATAAGAACTTTTTCAAAACTATAAAACAAATAAATAAATATATACAAAATATTTACTTATATGTTATTTACTATAAAACATAGTATGTATTTTACTGTTATTAATTTTATTAATATAACACTAGTTGTAAACCCGTACAATAATGCACGGGAATAAACTATGAATTTTTTAAAAATAATTTTAAAATAAAATAAATATGTAGTAATTATTAAGCTATAAACCCATGCGATATATAGAAAAGATTTAATATAAAATAAAATAAAAATTTAAATCTAAAGCAAATTAATTTAAATAATTTTAT